GACGCCTCTGGCTACCGTTTTACCGGTCGCCACCCTTATTAAGGAATGAAGGTGAAGTGCCCAAGCAGCTAGTAATGGTAAAGCTCTGCAGGGTCAACATTTGCTAGGAGACCCTACATCTGTCGTTTTGAACAACCGATTCAGTTCAAAGTATACCGTAAGAGTAGTGAAACGATTCTGCGCGCTCTCAATATACTGTTGCCTTTCATCCGCCATCAAACGAGCCGTCTGAGATTCTGGTAAATGCACAGCTAGTCGGCACACAATGTGTGATCTGTCCTGCACGCAGAAACCGAGTAATCTACGCGACGTCTGAGGTAAGCATACATATCGCGCATTCAATGCTGAATCTCGTCTACGTCTGCTCTATTCTCACTTCCACTGGTAAGTCGTGCGCGGTCGGGTCCCTTGTAAATGTACAACTACTCAATCGCCGGGGGCAGGCGGTCATGCGATATATGGGCAAGCGAGCACCGGAAAAATAGTTCGCTAATTTCTTGCGGTCCTCTTGCAGAAATTTGGAAGAATGTTGGCCAATTTTTAGACAATGCTCGCAGAAGTATGGCGGTTCTCTATAGATTAGTTGCGGCGCAGTGGCCGCATTTTGCGGACTTTCTGCGAAAATATGCAAAATTATTGGGGGCCTCAAGGTCTTTTGTGGAGGACCGCACAGCCCGTGGGTATCTTCCACTAAGAGGAAGTACCCCCAAACTCGGGTAATTAAACCACCGACCTCTGCCACATAGAGTCTCACCTTGCTCGGCGTACACCCGAAACTGCTCAAAAAGAGTCCAAGCGCCTGCTGAAAATTTGGCCAGCGCTTGCTAAAAGAGATCAATTGACGAGCGCTTGCAGAAAACTCTGTATTGCTGCCCGCTGGCAGAGCATGCGACAGCAAAGAAAGTACCGATCTCTGAAGGTTTGAGCACGCCCCAAAATTTTGCCGACCGTTCGGACCGCCTGCTCCGGCGATTATTTGAGTAGCTGCCAAGATAGTTTCTTTCACATAACCGTAGCGGCCACCGCTTAAGTACAAGAATGTTAGCTCGTCAAAGTCGATAAACAGCTGATTTTTCTCTATCCATCCATATTTATAAGAGTGATCTTTCGCTACCAAAACCGCGCCGCTACCGAGGAGCAAATGCCTATGCCCGCTACGGTCGTGTGATCAGGCCATACCGCATACTTCAAGATTTGTGTGACCGTCAAATTTTTTAACGAGATACAAATTCGTCGGGACCGCCCATGCATTGTTGTAGGCTGTACTGTTAATTGTACAAGTGTGTTTTTGTTTCGCTTCTGTACATCGGGTACTTATCTACATCCATCGATGTATTCTCAATGAATGGTTGAGAAATTGCTCAAAACACTTTCTGTCACGCATACACGGCGAATTTGCATCGTTCACTACACATTTTTTATACATTATATAATCGGTGACAGCCGTATAAGCTTCTGGTCCTTGCACAGGATTTCGTATTTAGGCACATATCACACTCCTCATTGGTCGTCTGACCTTGAATGCACTTTCCATAATGGAGCATATGGCAATGCACAAACCTCTTTTTTGAAGCTCAACTACTATACTTAAGCGTCAACCTCGCCAAGAACGATTCTTCAAAATAATCGTCACTTTCCTTTGTTTGTGCCATGAAAGACCTCGCGGTCCGTCAGGTATCGCATTTTTGCAGTCATAAGATTCTCTTGTATTTCGGACCACAGCGGATTGCACGTGATTGTTAGGAATTGAGTCAGCTTGCCGAATTGAGCGACAATCGCTATAGCATCCTTGTATGACTGTTGCACAGTCCCCAGACTCCCATGTGAGAAGATGCAAATATAATGCGACTGCAGGAAGAACTTGGTGCATATGCTCGGATAATCGCCGGGGGTAGGCGGTCCGCAAACTCGCGCTTTTCTGCAGGCGGTCAGCAGAATTTTGGGGCGTGGTCAAACCTTCAGCGAGCGGCACTTCCTTTACAGTCGCATATTTTGCCAGCGGGCAGCAAAACAGCATTTTTTGCAACCGCTCGGCAAATAATTTATTTCAGTGAGCGCTGGCCTAACTTTCAGCAAGCGCTCGGACTTTTTTACGCAGTTTCGGGCGTACGCCGAGAAAGGGTAAAACTTTATGTGGCAGAGGACCCGAGTTTGAGGTACCTTCTTTCAGCGGAAGGTACCCTGGGCAAGGCGATCCTTCACAAAAACACTTCACGGAAAGCCCGCGAAAATGCGCCACTGGCTCGCAACTTATCCATAAAAAACTGCGATGGTTCTCCGGGCGTTTGTTTAAAAAAATGGCCAAAATTATTCCAAATTTCTCAAGCGGACCGCAGGAAATCAGCGAACTATTTTTCCGGTGCCCGCTTGCTTAGAATTCGCATGCCGCCTGCCCCGGCGATAATCTGAATGGAAGTTTCGCATTGGCAGATGTTGAACAAGTTAGCCACGCATCTATATACAAGGAAAAGAAGAAAATAACTAGTCAGACCTTGCATGAGATGCTTGAAAAATCGCTTCATGTGCATCAATGACGGAAAGAGATAAAACTAAGAGGTCCAAATTGCAACACAACACTGCGCTATGGCCTGACAATTTGAAAACAACGGTAATGCTACTTGGACTGGAGAGGATTAGCGCTTCATTGCAACTAAAAAACCATCACCATCTAACAATTTCTTATATTGCATAAAGAGTCGTAAAAAAATATTGCATTCAAATTTGTAGCATCCCATTGTTCTCGAGAAGAAATAGAGACAATGTAAACTTTTAGCAGGCGATGCTGAAATACAGACTCATACATACGAATTCGAGAAAGTTAAGGCAGTCAAAGCTGCGCTACAAAACATCTTATGGTCTTAGAACTTCCTGTTTACAAAAGTATCAAAAGTTTCTTATCAGAGGAAATTCTGACCATTCAGTGGCGTTAGTAAGTGTTAAAGTTGCCGTAGCCGTCTGCAAATGCATTGGATTTCGTATAGATCATGGCAAAGACGCAGATCAAAGTCAGTTTTGAAGAATTCCTTCACGTACGAAAAACTTGTAAGGAAATGACAACACGGCGGCAACATTTAGATATGTTTACTACGCGGTGAAGAATATTACAAGAACAATGGTACATATTTGCCACTATCTGTGCTCTTTTTGAACAAGTTTAGTCTGAATTATGAGCAACGCCTTGCAGTCCGTGCATGAATAGGGCAATTATGATAAGGCATATACAGGGTGCCTCAACAAAATGTGAACACTGTTTGATCGTTAACAACTCTCTCGCATTCATGCCTTTCGCCGACCGAGCTACTATTCCGTAAAGCGATAATAACTCGAATTTGCAGTAGAAAACAAATCACCAGTCACTCTTTATTACTGTATGATTACGGTATGAACTTTCAGCACTGTTTAATAGGCCTTATGATGGAAAATGTTCCAAAAAATCCGGACATTACAGGGTGCGGCAAAAGTCTGAGAGCCTAACTTTGCAGTATTGCAATTACAAAGGTACTGGTAGTTTTGATTTCAATTTTATAGCACATGATGCTGCGGTGATCCTCTACGAAATACACTTTATATGACTGGAAATGGCTGCCATATGTTTTTGTAAGAATGGAAATTACCAAACTAGTGCTTTTGCAAAGCGAAAAAACCAGAATTTTTATTTACTATTTTTGCTGTAGCTAGAGATGCTGTTGATATTTTACAAAACTTCGATGCACACAACATAGAAGAGGCTTTGCGCTATTGTATCCTAGTTTTGCTTTTGCCAGGAGCTGTTCTTGCATAAACGGAAAATAAAAGTTTGCGAATGTTACTTACGTGCCAGTGGAAATCCGTCTTCAGAACAAATTTGAAAGCTATAGAATGCTCAACAGGCACTGGGACCAAGGCTGTATTTTTTGCATACATCTTCTAAATTAGAATCTATCGAAATTCGGCCATGGGAACACTTTTTTATACTTTTCAAACGATAATTTTAAGTTTTTATTATTTATTTTTTATTATTTATTTTTATTATTTTTAAGCAGTTGTAGCCAAAATTCCGGTATGCGACGTACACATGTTTCTAATTGAAAATCCAATATTTTTTTCCTAAGCAATGCAAAAAATTCCTTTAGAAGCATGTTGTAGATAAAAGCTTGTTTTATCGTTTTACACATTTGCCAAGGTAAATGAAGCAGTTATTGTGAAGGCGTGGGGTGAATTCCATTACGACTACCTGCGTGCCATGACAGGTGGACTTGCCAAGATTTTGTAGGGCTGCGTGGAAGCCAAAAGAGGCAGTTTTGCAATTCAAGAACTGGGCTGTATCTGCAATGGTTCGAATTATGTGTGCGCCAAATTTTTCGTTTCTAGGTACTTCCCTTCTCGTTTTGTACGAAAAAGTACTAAGCTCCCAGACTTTTGCCGCACCCTGTAGTGTAGTAAGATTTTCAGGCGTGCTGATTTCACTACACAACTTTTACCAGTTTTTCGAGCTTCTTCAATCATATAATCTCACTTCACGAACATTGGAAAAACGGTTGTTCCCTAGCCCTGAACTAACTTAATCAACTCAAAAAAGCATTACAGTGGTCTGCAACTTTCATATTCAGAATCAGCGACTTTCAACCTAGTACAAGAGTATCTGGTTTGTTTGCTTTTCCAACTGAGGCAGAAATCGCTTTCAAATTTTCAAACTTTTTCTCGAATTTTATACCTTAACCCTACAGTAATGAAGATAGTGACTGATAATTCGTTCCCTACTGCAAATTCAAGTTAATCTCGCTTTACGGAATAGTAGCTCGGTCGGCGAAAGACATGAAAGCAAGAAAGTTATCAACGATCAAACGGTGTTCACATTTTGTTGAGACACCCTGTATGTACTTCTGAAAGTGCAGGGGCACGCAATCTTGGACATATTTTGATTGTAAGTCAAGGCAATAATTTTGATTCCTTATAAATCATGTCAATATCATAAAGAATTTGCATCATTATGATTACCCCACAGTCTTATTTCTGTTAAGACTTTTGCGAGGGAACACTTATTTCAAGAAGACATGTGCTGACAGCTGCTCATTGTTTCAATCGAGAAGAAAACAGTTACAACTGCAGGTCAGTAAAAATTTGAAATTTTTTTGCTAGGAAGTAGCGACAAAATTTTCAAAGGAGTCGATAGAACGATGCTTTTGCAGTATGCCGATAAGCGCACCTTCAGTTGACGTCTTAGATTTTGCTAAAGCTTATGTTGGAGGACGCTGCAAACACTTTGACAGAGACTACTGCGGAGAAGACGAACTTGGCGAAAAAATTGGCATAGCTAGGTATTTCATCTTCGATTTAGATTTTACAAGGGAACGATTACAACTTAAGGTTGTAAACTGGGTTAAACCGCATATTATTAGATGCGTCTTGATGAGCTGATTCCTTATCTGCCCTCCGTATCTGCGATGCCGTTTTCTTCAAAAATTATAAGCGTTCAAATGTCCAAATTTGGCAAACATTCAGAGCCACATCCTCAAAAACTAACTGTTCAAGAGCCCTTATCTGTGACTCCGTAGATGCGAGCATCCCTTGAAATCATTACACTCTATATCTTGCTAGTCATGCACTTTCAAATTAAATATTCAAAGCACAACATGCATTAGAGTTTTCGTGATTTCACACATTTGAATGCGGCTAAATGAGTGAGTCACTAGTTTCTTTACGCATGAGCTTTAAAATTCAATTTGAAAGATAACTCGCAAGACATTGAGTATACTAATTTGAGGCAATACTCACAATTACCTGAGACACAGACAAGTGTTTTCTAAAGACTAGCTCTTACTCAGATAATCGCTGGGGGCAGGCGGCCATGCGATTTATGGACGGGCGGGCACCGGGAAAATAGTTCGCTGATTTCTTGCGGTCCGCCTGCAGATATTTGGAATAATTTTGGCCATTTCTTGAACAAACGCTCGGAGAACTATCGTTTTTTTATAGATTAGCTGCGGCGCAGTGGCCCCATTCTCGCGGACTTTCCGCGAGAATATGCAAAATTTTCGAGGGCCGCACGGTCCTTTGTGGAGGACCGCGCAGCCCTCAGGTACCTCCGCTAAGAGAAAGTACCTCAAATTTGAGTAATCAAAGCAACGGTGACACCTCTGCCACACAGAGTCTCATTTTTTCTCGGCGTACGCCCAAGACTGCGTAAAAAGAGTCCGAGCCCCTGCTGAAAGTCCGGCCAGCGTTTGCTGAAAGAGATTATTATTATTATTTGACGATTATTTGACGAGCGCCTACGGAAAATTCTGTATCGCTGTCCGCTGGTATAACATTAGACAGCAAAGGAAGTACCGCTCGCTGAAGGTTTGGCCACACCCCAAAATTCTGCTGACCGCTTGCAGAAAAGCGCGAGTTTGCGGACCGCCTGCCCATGGCGATTATCTGAGTAGGGATGGCGCCGAATATTTACAAATTTAGATTTGAAACGCTTATAACTTCTTCCAAAGAACGGCATCGCAAATTATGGAAGTTAGGTTTAAGATCAGCATCAAAACGCATCTAGTAATATGCGGTTCAATCCAGTTCGATTAGGCATCCTAAGTTAGGATCGTTCCCTGTTTAGATGTAATAAGATGAACTCAGGAGACCATACATATTTCCTCTTTTTTTACAAAATCTTATCTCCCAAAAAAAAAATTCATTTGAATGTTCATAAGTTTTGTGTCTATAGAGAGAATGTCATTGGGCATTTTTTTCTGTTCGCAAGAATGTCATTTCAGGGTATACTTCGACGAATTCTTTACAAGCGAATGTCATGGTGAAAACGACCTCGCTCTGATAGAACTACAAAAGGATGTGCCTGCAAAATACCATCATATTTGCCTTCCGTTCCTACACAAGGATAAAAAGGCGTTTAAAGATCCTAATTTGAGGATGGCCTCCTATGGATATTCAGATCGTTAGTTTTTATTGTGCTTTAGAATAACTTGCTCGTCAATATGTAGGGGCCTGCAGGATCGTGAGAGTCGGACGTGCGTACGGCCATTGCGCCGCGCACGTCTGATGTCACTGAGGCAGGTGCCAGACTTTTCCGCTTCAACCGGTTCGTTCGGTTCATAGGTCAAATCACTATACTGTCCAACAGAAGAGGTTGTAAACCGAATAAACTTGTTGAACAGGATAAGTCTGGCACCTACCTAATTCGTCCGACTCTCGCGATCCTGCCCCTATACTTTCGCTAGCTGGTTTTCCCGGTCTAGTCCGAGTCATGTCAGCTAATTCCTTGAGCAGTCTTCCCCCCTCCTCCCTTCCCACCTGACCATTATGCTGCGCTGCAAGGGATTTCTGTATCAAAGCAACTCACCCGCTGTAAGCTCGTCTTAAATCACCGTATCCTCCCTATCGCGAAGATCGAACGAACTTTACTGCTATCGTTTATATGGAATCATGGAACTGACTTGTTAGCCGGTGTTGAAAACTCATTCTTATGCCAAAAATCAATAAATCAGTAGAATGGTCCAGCGAATCACCTCAAAAATTAGCAAAATCACCTCAAAGCACCTCCGTGGTTGAATACATATGTGTGCAAAGTTCCAGCTCAATCAGTTCATTGGCAGACGTTTCTATGACGAACGAACAACCAAACGAACACACAAAGTTTGATTTATCGTTGAGTCATTCGTAACTCAAAGGAAGTATCCGGGCAAAAACTCGATTTTTAGAAAATCCACTTACCGGGGGTTATCCGCAACGCTAAATCCGAAAATCCACATTAGAGGGCGCGAAAGCGGCGAGAACATGCGTCATTCAAAGCCTTGCAATTTGAAGTCTGACGGTCCTCGCCAAGGCTGAGACGCAGAAACGCTGCAGGACCCCACGATTTTGACTGTTGCGACATGCGTACTCTGCCGCTTGGAAAGCCTCCACACCGCGGCGGTTGCCGCTTTTACAACCGTTAGCCGCTTTCGCGAAGATTGCCGCTATTGCAACCGAAGCGCAGTGGGTCATGCTAATGTCTCCCTGGCGCGCATGCGGGACGAAAACTCATTGATCAATCTAGTTTTTGTGTTTTTTGTGCTTATGTATTTTCCCTGATTATTCTGAGGCTGATCTTGATGTATGAGTCTTTCGATAATGGTTGTTCAAAGGCTTGAAACGTCGCCGGTACATATGGCTAAGTATCGCCTGCGATTAGCTGGAGTTTACAGAGTATACTACTCTTTCTTTTTTTCTAGTTTTGTTACGCTCAAGTTTAACGCTTTCTGTGAATGACGCGGTTGGAAGCTGGACGGGATGTTAGAGAGCATTTGTGCAAATCTATGATAGTGCATGGACGTAAGCATAAAGAGGAAACTGCTTCACCCACAGCAAATATGAAACTTGAGCGTAAACACCTTACCCATTTGTGATGTTCTTGCTACTTCATTCTTCATTTTTGTGTTTAGCTCAAGTTTCATATTTGTTGTGGGTGATGCGGAATATGGATTTGCACAAATGCTCTTCAAAATCGCAACAGCTTTTCAAGTCGCATCACCCACAAAAGACCGCTGAATCATGAAAGACCGCTGCTGAAAGACCGCATCACCCACCAAGACCGCTCAAGTTTCATATTTGCTGTGGGTGAAGCAGTTTCTTTATGCTTACGTCCATGCACCATCATAGATTTGCACAAATGCTCTTCAACATCCCGTCCAGCTTCCAACCGTCACAGAAATATTCTACTTTTGGGTAATGCGACCTGAAGAGCTGTTGCGATTTTGAAGAGCATTTGTGCAAATCTATATTCCGCATCACCCACAACAAATATGAAACATGAGCTAAATTCAGCAATTCAGCTAATTTCAATACCCCACCCAAGGCCTAAATTTCCCCACTTCCCGATCGTTTTTCTTACTTTAGGTCGAACATTAGAACCTCGCATTTGCGCGATGTTTGAGGGGGGGGGGACACTTTTGTCGGCACTGAAATCAAACCCCCCCCCCCCACCTTGTCCGGGCACTGCCTTTAATATGCGTGCTTCACACCATATGCGCTATCTGACGAACTCCAAGATTAGAACCTGCTCGTTTCCAATAACTTCACCTTATTTGTCCGTCTGTTTTTGTTTATATTGGATATGTCAATTAATAGAATACGAATTTGAGGTTCGTTAGGCTAGAAAGGTTTTGCTGAAAAATTAGTAGTAAGAGTACCGTCGCTTGCCGCGCAAAGGATGCAACTTCACATATTACGTTACAAATGACTCGAGGATATATATAAATATTCATTCGCTGAATCAAATTTGAGGAAAGGTATCAATATACTGAATTCCAGCACTAAACCAGACAGGCTGAAAATTGATCTTTTGTCGTTTAACCCGCTCTTGAGCTCATTTTCTACGACTTCAGGTATAATTTGTTTGTGATAACTTTGACGTAAGTTGATGTATTAGTATTTCTTAAGCCGCACTGATTGGTATGTGGAACTTTATTGACCTAACTTTTCGAACAACTCAAAGCAATCCGCGGCAGCAAGTAGGCTCAAATCTCCGCTGAGATCGAAAACGTATGTGTGCGAAGTTTCGCCAAACCAAATCGGAGGCTGGCGTTTTCAAGAGACGAACGAAGTTTTTAAAACCTTACAGTTTAAGTTTTATTTATTAAGATCTGTGGATAGAGGACTATATGCCGCTGAAAGGAGGTGCAATAGACCCGCACCCGTGCATATTGCAGTCATTACAGATTTGTACTCGCTGTCGCGCAAATGGAACATATCGGCGACATATAGTCTCCTAGAAGCAAGCCGAAATTCAGATTTGTGTGATCTTTTAAGATCACACTTTGTTTCAAAGCTAACTCTCTTCCAATAGACTCAATAAAAATGATCAAAGTTGTACTGAGGATCTATGATAGCATTGCTAGGTATATTTATAGTAACTAAGTAGGATCATGTGTTATCGAAATTTTTAATGAACCACTGTTTGCGAACGTTTTATGTGAAAACTTCAGAATTTAGAGAAAGTACGAAAAGAATGTACAGATATACGGAGCCGAGATATGACGTGCCCTCACAAGTCTCCTTTCCTCCTGAACGGGGACGTACTTGCGAACATATGCTGGAGCGTCGTAATTCTTTATGAGGGGCCGCGGAAGAACACCTTTGCGGCTTTTTCATCATTGAGGAACCCGCTCCCGCTGTAGACGAATCTTATACATACGGGCCTTATACAGTGCTGGCCATAGCTATAAAGCCACCCTAAGAATCACTAATTTGCCCTTTCTTGTTCGAAATTGTCTGAAAAACCACTATTCTCTGTGCATACCAACGTCACATATCATTGACCAGAACAGCTCACAATTTCATTGACTTTGATTGGAGAAAAATAGAAAAATTAAAAAAAGGCTCCGAAGGCTGGTCACAGCTATCAACCCCTTCTCACTTTGATCAGTACTACGTTCTTTGAATCTAAAATTTTTTGTACATAAACAACATCAAAATACGAAACATTTATTGCATCGGAATCTATCGCCTTTCAAAGGAAAGTCATAATGGGTTTTTTGCTTCAAAATGCATAAAAAGTCACTTTGTTCAAAAAGCTGTTTTTCCACCGAATTTTCAAGCACTCGTGAAGGACGCATGAGTCAGCACTGCGCAGTCAGATGAGCGAGCCTTGAGCTTACCTGGGTGTAAGCGCGCTTCTGACGTGAGACGCAAGTCCCAATTTCTGACACCCAAAAACTTCTGGTCTTTATTGGTATTTATTTTGTTTGCATGGCGACGTACTTATCCAAGAACTGTCAGAATCTTTGCAAAGACGTAATCTTTGCAGCATTGGAGTCAAACCTTTGTTTGCAATACTTTCAAACTTCTCCAGTCAAAATCAGTGAAATTGTGCGTTGTTCTGGTCAATGAACATGACGTTGGTTTATATAGAAGATATCAGGTTGTTCGGAAATTGATGTCCGTTTTGAATTTCAACCGCAGTAAGTCATACACTTCTCATTTCTGAATAGTTTGCAAGGTACCATTCGATAAAGCAAAGCAAGTTAGTTCTACTACAGGATGGCGGTCTTGTTTTTTGCAACAACCTTGAGTTTCGAGCCAAAACTAAAATGATATCAGCACGAAAAAATAGTAACTCTGTTTAAAAAAACCCTACAGAAATCTGTTTTGCTCACGTAGACACTATCAAATAAGACATTTATATAAGCTGTTGCCGTCGTTTTTCACCTTTTAGAAATGAAGAAAACGGAAATTTTCGTGCATTTGTCGAAGTAAAACTGTGCCGTCCACACATGAATGATTGTACAGGGCTTTACAACCTGAGTGTCCCACCCGCCCCGCTAGGACGCCACGCTTAGGTCCGCGCAGCGTTCGTGGCGCTGGCTGCGCGTCGACTGAAGCTTGGCGAAATCCGGGCGATATGCAGCAAACGCCGCGCGCGGCCTGAGCGAGGCGGCCGCGTTGGAGGAGCCGCGCAAGCGAAACTTGCGACTCTCAGGTTGAAAAGCCCTGTATCTTATATATAAAGCTGAATGTCTGTTTGTATGTATGTATGTATGTCTGTATGTCTGTGTGTACGTATGTTCCGAATAGAAAATTCCATTTCTGAAACGATCCGGACCAAACTTGGCACACATACACTTCGGGCCCCGGCGCGTGTCATAGGCTACTTTTCGTCATCGATCGATATCGATTTTATCGATTTTTATCGATTTTTTTGCAGAGTTCACCTACGGGGCTGGGAGTTGGCACAGGGGGGTAAGTGAGCATGGGGATTCCGAATACAATATTAGTTTTCAGGATTATCGATTACTTTTATCGATTTTATCGATTTTTTTGCAAAGTTTGAGCTACGGGGCTGGGAGTTCGCACAGGGGGTAAGTGAGCATGGGGATTCCGAATACAATGTTGGTTTTCAGGATTATCGATTACTTTTATCGATTTTATCGATTTTTTTGCAAAGTTTGAGCTACGGGGCTGGGAGTTCGCACAGGGGGGTAATCGAGCATGGGGATTCCGAATACAATATTGATTTTCGGGATTATCGATTACTTTTATCGATTTTATCGATTTTTTGCAATGTTTGAGCTAGGGGGCTGGGAGTTGGTACAGGGGGGTAATCGAGCATGCTGATCATCCCCAAGGGGGGTAATATTGTATTCGGAATCCCCATGCTCACTTCCCCCCTGTGCCAACTCCTAGCCCTGTAGGTGAACTCTGCAAAAAAAATCGATAAAAATCGGTAAAATCGACATCGATCGATAACGAAAAGTGGACTGTGACACCCGCCGGGGCCGAAGTGTATGTGTGCCAAGTTTGGTCCGGATACGGCGGAGCCGGGTAAGCCAGCTAGTACTATAATAAAACTGTAGTAGTACAAACGTGAATTTTCAGCTCTATACAAGCTTTAATTTTCGAGAAATATCGAGTATGGCTTTTCTTAGCCAGGTGGTCCAAGCCAAACTTCTAATTTCTCGAGTATTAAAGCTTGTATAAAACTGAAAATCTACGTTTGTACTTCTACAGATTGTAGTTTACAACTATTCGCGTGGGGACTGCACAGCACCATTTTGGAGAATGCGCGAAAATTTGTGTTTTTTTGATTTTTAGAGGGTGAAAAAAGACGGCAACGGCGTACATAGACGTCTTATGTGGATGGTGTCTACGTGAACAAGTTAGAAACTTTGTAGTAACTTTGTTTTTATGAACTCAGTTACTATTTTTCTCAATTTTTCGTGCATATGAATCATTTTAGCTTCTGGCTCGAAACGGTTAATGAGAGCTGCTGCAAAAAAAACTGCTATCCTGTAGAGCTTGCTTTACTCGAATAGTACCTTGCAACCTATTCAGAAATGAGAAGTTTATGACTTTTCAAATCGGACTTTAATTTCCGGACAACCTAATAGTATTTTTTCTAGACAATTTCGAACAAGAGCGGGCAGATACTGATATTTTAGGATGGCTTTATGGCTATTCTCAGCACTGAAGGAGAAAAAAAGCCGCTTTGGACACCCGAGCTGCTCGCTGCCCTATAAATTAGTTGACCGAATAAGAAGAGTTTGTAAGCAAGTCATAGATGCCAGAGAAATGCGTTGTATTGCACTTTGTCTCATCTATTAGGTTGTTAGATAAGTCTTGTTACACTTAACTTCTAACGGCGATAAGTCATACACCTCATAGTCTTTGCAGGACTCCAAGGTACCATTCGATAGAGCAAAGCAAGCTCTACAAGATGGTCTGCAAAAGTTTGCACCAGCTCCGACCCACCATAAGTTTGCACCCAAAATCTGAGTCGTACTGAAATTCAAAAAATCGCGAAAAATTCATATCTTTGTTCAAACAAATCCTACGGATCTCCAACTTGCTCACATTAATTGCCCACTATATCAAGTACTCAAATGTACCGTTGCTGTATTTTTTCCTCATTTAGAAATTGAGAAAAGGAAATTTTTTTAGTTTTTACAAAAATAAAGCCATGCTGTTTCTACTCATGTAGCTGTATACTGCAAGCCCTTAGAAGTATGACCGTAAATTTTCAGCTTCCCAGAAGCCCTAGTTTTCGAAAATTACCTAATTTTGCATTGAACACCCGAGTGAGAAAAGCTAAATTCGGTATTTTTCGAAAAACTAGATCTTCCGGAAAGCTGAAAATTTACAGTTATACTTTTAAGGGCTTGTAGTATACACCTACATGAGTAGAAACAGCATAGCTTCATTTTTGTAAAAACTAAAAAAATTTCCTTTTCTCAATTTCTAAATGAGGAAAAAATACAGCAACGCTACATTTGAGTACTTGATATAGTGGGCAATTAATGTGAGCAAGTTGGAGATCCGTAGGATTTGTTTGAACAAATATATGAATTTTTCGCGATTTTTTGAATTTCAGTACGACTCAGATTTTGGGTGCAAACTTACGGTGGGTCGGAGCTGGTGCGAACTTTTGCAGACCATCTTGTAGAGCTTGCTTTGCTCTATCGAATGGTACTTTGGAGTCCCGCAAAGACTGTGAGGTGTATGACTTATCGCCGTTAGGAGTTAAGTGTAACAAGACTTATGTAACAACCTAATATTTACCTGTTATTAGAGCATTTCGAAGGGCTCTTATGTTAGGAACTTCTTATGTGTAAGCACAAGAACTTCAAAAAAATGCTGAAAGGGGGAAGAACAGCTGGATAGTACTTGTGGCGTTTACATATCTTTATCCTTTGCTTTCTCGAAGCACATCAGAGAAGGAATTTAAACGACGTTATATGTTTGAAAATTGTACTTTTTAGACGCATAATATAGTGTTTTATCGTAAATGCTGTTACGGTTCTGTTCTTATGCTCGGCTGCTGGTTAATGCGTTCGAGCGGTAGGACAGTCAGTGCGGCAGTATGAAACAGGTCAGGCACTACACTTCAGTAAATCGAAACCCCCCACAAGGTTTTGCTGATTCTTTCTGAAATGCAGATAGTTTGCCGAAACGCTATTATGCAGCAAGTTTTTAGATAATTTTACATCAACAAAGAAAGATAGCGAACTTGTTTTTGCCGTACATTAGCTGTTGCTGGCCCTTTATTATGGTGAACGCTAAACATTGTTTATACTTCGATTCACCTGTTAAAAAATGTATATTTTTTGAAAGGCTGCAAAAATTTCCAGAAAAGCAAGGTAAGTGTAAACTAGAAACAGTGCCGGAGGCCCTTGTGAAGTGCACACTAAATCTAAATAATTCGCTCTACATTTTCGTGCTTGTTTATGAAGAGGAAGGTTATTGCTTGTGTTGTACTACTTCAAAGAGAAGCATTTCTGCTTAGGTACCTTGCACTACTCGAAACTTTTTCAACAACCTTGGAAACGACATCCCCATCAATTAAGCATGCATTGATATCCCCGCCGTGAGGGATGGCGGCGTGGCGTTATGAAGCAAAGCTACGCCGCATTCGCCTGCGGTAGATCCTAAGGGCCCTTTGCGTTGTGTCGCTCTTAATTGCACCCGCAGAGGAGCTAGCGCTACCGAGCGGATTGAGTCATTCTCGAAATTTTTCTTTTATAGAGAGACCAAAATGCGGATGTTAAACGAATTTTGAAGATGAAAAAAATAGATTCTGAGGAAGAAGTGTTTGAAAGTACCACCCAAGAGATAGTAAAAGCTTGGAAAGTCAGTAACAAAAATTTTCTGTCCCTTTTCTCTACTAATCCTCGTGTTACACTTAAAATCAATCTTCTATTCTCATCCGAGATTCAGCCTTTGCATTCGTAAAATCCTCCAGTTTCAATTTTAAGTACCTTTATTGCATTCATGCAGTTTGGACATCTTCTCAAGGCGTAGCAATAGGGAATGGCTCAGTTCGCTGTCAGGAGCGGCGTGCTTCTGCGGCTGCAATTAAAGGCGACGCAATGCAACTGGCCCTCAGGATATACCGCAGGGGAATGCGGCGCTGCTTTGCTCCATAACGCCTGCCTCTCGTTAGGGATCATAGCTTGAAAGAAAACTCCATATTCCTAAGCTCCAGACGTCTGAATTTCCGCTCTTTATCCATTCGTAGGTATTCCTACCATCCTTCACCATAAGACAGAGCCAAATTTTCCAGCTTTTTTTGATCATTACAATCCCCGGCGGCCAACCGTCTTTTCTTTAGAGTCATTTTTTTCTTAAGTTAGCGAAAACATTCCAAGGTTGTACTGATCATCCATCCCAACACTATTAAGCATGTTTCTGATGGAAATTTTCTAATACAAATGATGTCTCGAAGTCATGAAAATTGCAATAAACACAAGTCAAAAGTTGGGGTTTATCGAAAACGTCAATGTCATTGACGCGGCGTCATTCGACTGCTAATTACGAAGATAAATCATTCCGCTCAATATCTATCTGTTATCTGCTAGATTATTATTGGACAGCATGCTTCTCCTTTACAGCAAATGAGTACGGTGTTTGTTCAATAAGGTTCAACCATTCTATAAGGCAAAGCCCGGCAAGTTCTGTAATTACAAAAGCGCAAGATTCTTAATCGTCTTTAGCTTATATTTCTTCTTTAGTGGCTTAAAGTCAATATATGGTGACAATCATCTACGATTAGTCTCGTAAGTGACCTGTTGCAAGAAGAATTTTGAAAAACTTTTCAACAGTCTTTGAATGATGGTTTTTTGTTCCTGTTGTAAATTTGGAAGCTTGTGCTCATGCGCATTCAATCCTGAAAACTCTTTACCTCTAAACAAAATGCTGTAAATTATCCTATGTTTGTTAAAGTACTAGCCATTTTTGCGGCCAATTGACTCTTTTCAGCAAATAACGATGACGTGGAAATGAATAACAAACTGGTTGCATATATACAAAAGATAGATTTGGGTAAGTTTTTCACTCATCAGGGGTCTATCTTCATTTGGAGGCAGTTGAGGTGGAGTTCACTCCATATTCTCACATGTTTAGGAAAGAAGATTTCGGAAAAGCAATGCAAAAGCTTGAGTCAGCACAAACCAGAAGGCACATTCTGCACTTACGGAGTGAATGGTTTGAACTATTGCCGCGTAAGAATATTTGTTTAATGGGCATCTTTTACAGATGTTCATTAAATCTTTTGCATCAATCTTCGACTTATAAAAAAATTTCTAGACTGATAGTGGAGGTGGTGTTACAACTACAATAAACGGTAAAACATTTCTAATGGGTGTGATCTCTTTTGGAGAATGGTGCAAGAATATGAAGAAAAGAAAAGGACCTAAAGTGCAAGTGCGTTTTTACTTACCGTATTATACCTTATACAAGCGTCCAGGCAAAATGTGAGAGTTTCAGACTTTTACGTGAAAGCTGTTTGGGGTCCTAATTTCAACAGTTTTATGAGGCACCGGCAATCATCCACATGCCCAGAGGACGACTTGCACTAGCCTGCACGCATTCGTTCAAAAACGCATCTCCCTTGTGATGTGTTCCTGCGCAAAAGCGTGCAAGCCTATGCAAGTTTCGCTGAACAGTTCAATAGCCGTTACGATTTGCCTGGACACTGCCTTCAAGGTGCTCTAATTAACAAGTTGGCATCCATCGAGTTTCCACGAGCAAATACAAGACTCTTCAAAAACTGTAGCCATTGTTGATTAGTTACAGAGTCATACAGAGATTATGGGACACTAGAAATGGATGCACTAAGATTTGAAATCTGCTACGCTCTTCTAAACGATGTGATCATCAAAATCTTTGAACCTCTGCTTGCGGCCATTAACAAAAAAGAATTCTAAGGCTATCGGAAACACTTGTGATTCAGTGGATGAGAGGAGAGTCAATGACATACATTAGACCTTACGGTTCCAGACGCAAGGTATAAAATTGGGTGTTGGTAGACATGGCATAACTCTTTGAGGAAATTCTAAAACGAGCTCGGAAGGCTCCTTTAAACAGAATTCAAATGTCCAGGAGTTAACAGCAGCACAAATTGATTTATAAAAAGGTCTGTTTCACTTCCTCGTCCAGGTGTGGGTTATCTGCGGCAGTTCAGACAATCGTGGTGAAATCATGCAAGAGTCCTCTCACAAAATGAAAATTGTCAGAGGGCGCGAATCACCGACCTACCGATCTTCAGTGGCGGGAAGAAAAGCCCGCGCTGGCGCCTTCGGCAGGGTATAAATACCGGGAGTCAGGGGGAGTCTCAGACTGCGCGGAGGAAGCGCTAGCGGGAACTAACTCCGTCGAAGAGAGGCGGATCTCCCCCTCAGATAGAAAGTAACTAGTAAGCCTGCCGAAGTGGTCAAGGGGGTAAAGCCCGTCGTTTCGTTGTTAAGCCTTGTTTAAGTTACGCATTATTGTTTCTTGTTGTTCGTTGCCGTTCTTCTAAGATAAACTATTAGTCGTTCAATCCGTGTTGTCTATCGATCCGGTTGAAACCGTCATACCACTAGACCACCCCCGGTTACATGGGGCCGAGCAGACCTGGATCGATTGAAATACACACGGGGCGACTGATATTGACTGTCTCAGAGGCAAGACAGCAGAGAACGCGTAGAACAGGTTAAGAAGGCGAAACCAAAAGACCAAAAAGGTGGGAAATCTATACGTCATCAAGCAGGTGACCGTAACAGGCCAAGAAGGCCAGACCTAAGATCAACTGGAAAAAAGTCTCTATCGTATCATACAGAGCAGGCAGTTAAGTTATAAGAGAGAAGTGATTATTGATCAAATCATCCACGCTTAATAGAGGCGTGAGTATATTTGACTGACTCTCTTCGATCAGCTGAGACGCGCGATTTCGCCTGCGGCGTTGATTAGCAATGAATGTAAAGGCAAGGCGAAGCATTTCGCTGCCGAATACATTCATGTTCATGGATTTGGATCAGAAGCAAAGATGTGCAGATGATACTCATGACAGAAAGCACGCTTGATGATGGAGAGATAAGCCTCATCGGAAAAGAAGTGGGAATGCTACCTAGGATGGTAAGCAAGGTCCTTAGCTGATGTAGGATACCGGTTGATGGATTGCCACTTGAAGAACAGTTGGAGGCCAAGGTAGCGACAGTGTTGGGTAGGCTGGAGAACCTAACCGCCTAGTTGAACCAGATATTCGGTCTCATAGCAACGGCAAGTGCAATGAGGGAAGGCAGTCTGTTGAGAGGGTCGGATGACGGACCACTCGACAATCATCTGCTCAGCTATTTTCAGAGCATGACTTTTGCTGATCCTGGAGTCTTCAGGGGCTACGAGGATGAAGACTTTGACGGGTTCATTCGAAAGTTTAAAAGGAAGTATGCTACAATCGGCCAGGATGAACAGTTGCTGATAGAGGTCCTGGGTGATGAACACTTGGAAGGAAGGGCAAAGTCCTTATTTTTGAGCATACCCGTGGGGGTAAGACAGCAAGGCTTTGACAGAGTAGTGAGGGAGATGGTTTCACTACTGGCCTGTGACTCCACAGCAGTTAGGTTAAAGGCGCTGACAGCCTTAAAGGCAGTGTCCGGGCAAAAACTCGATTTTGAGATTTTGTGCTTACCCGGTCCTATTCGCTATGCTGAATCCGAAAAATCACATTAGAAAGCGCGGAAACGGCGAAAAAGAACTTTAACGCAGGAGGGAAACCAGAAGTGGGCGGGGTCTTCCCCACTGCGGATTCACGCTCCAAACTTCCGGAGCGATCTCGGTCCCGATTACAATCATGCGTTTGCACCTGGCCTGTGGAGATTTCAGAGGTAACTTCGAAAAAATCTGAAAAATTGTGTAACAAGGTTTTCAGGCGTGCTGATTTTACTACATAACTTTCCACCAGTCTTTCTTGATGGCGTATTCACATTTCTAACAAATTTTGGAAAATCATTTGTTACCCTAAATTCGATAAAACTCATGAAAGAAGCAGTGTACTGACGTGCAATTTTCATATTTAGAATTAGCAACTTCGATTGACCCAGTTCATAAGTTTCTGGCTTGTTTGGCTTTTTTCTGAGGCAAAAAACTGCTTCCAATGGCTCAAAATCCTTTCCGAAATTCCTACCGTAATCCTACAGTAATGAAGAGCTGCTTATAAACCGCTCCATACCGCAAAACTAAGTTGAACCTCGCTCTAAAGAATGGTACCTCAAGCTTGGCAAAAGACATGAAAGCAAGAGAGTTATTAACAATTAAACAGTGTGCACATCTTTTTGGGACACCCTGTATAGCCAAGTGACAAGATTGCACCACTTTGTAGAAATTCTTGTTGTTGAAACTTTCATAATCGAACAATAATCTGTTAAGAACACAAAACACTGCATACTCTCTACAAACTAGAAGAGAACTTAGGACCTACCGGGTAAAAATATCACACCTCCAGTTAAACATTCTGCTTCAAAAGGTTTTATAAACTCCCAATGCTATGAGCTCTCTCCCAAAGAACAATGTTCAGTAAGTGACTGGTACCTAGGACAATTGGCTGTTATTTGGCACTCTGTACAAAATAACCCTAACTCCTCTACCTTAACTACACTGTTGTTAAGAACATCATTTTTTATCCTCGCATGTGTTTCGTTTATGCAGGGTTTGCTCTTTTTGTCAGATGTCTCCATGTCGTCCTATTTGAAGCAAGTTCTTCGTCACTAACAAGTTCTCGCAGATCGGCCTTCATTCTGTCCATCCACCTCATCTTGAGTTTTACCTCTGGGTTGCCTGGTGTTTCCACAGCCAGGGCTTACTTCGTGATATGACTTTCACCACTTCTGCGCACATGCCCATACATTGTAACTTCTTTTCCTGCATTTTCTGGTCAATTGGAGCTACTTTCATTTGCTCTCTTATGGTATCATTGCAGATGTGATCCTTCAGTGTGACTCTTAAGGTCCATCTTAGCATCCTTGTTTCCATGGCACTAAGCTTGCGCTCCTCGTTCCGCGTACAAGGCCAGCATTCACTGCCATACAGTGCTGCTGGACGAGTAACGGTCCGATACAGTTGGGAATTGAGATGCGTCGGCATTCTTTTGTCGCGCAGAACTCCTGTCAAGATTCTCCATTTCATCCATGCTGTATTCATCCTGCTGGCGAGCTCCTCTTATAAGCTTTCCTCCGCTAAAATGTAACTGACTAGGTACTTGTATAACGTTGTCTTCTTTAGCTCTTAACCATCAATGCTTATGGTACCAGGAGTTTGTTTCCCCACTTCCATATCCGTCTTCCTGGTGTTGAGCTTCAAACCATGCAGCTCTAACCTGTTTTTCCAGTTTTGTATCTCGTCTTGTAGCTTCTTTCTAATATCTGCTATCAAGACCACATCATCTGCAAAGAGAGGTGACCAAAGAGGATCGCGTTTGAGCGGTTCCATCACGGCGTTCATAACAGTGATGAAGAGCAAGGGAGAGAGAACTAAACCTTGGTGTACTCTAACCTGATTTGGAATTCTTTCGATTGCCCTGCAGCTGTTTGCACGTTGGCTTGAAGCGTTGTGGTAGATCAACTTCATTCACTGAACGTATTTTTTGGCATCCTGTGTTTCCGTAAGGCCTACCATATGACTTCATGGGATACCTTATCGAAGACTTTCCGCGAATTCAGAAAGGCTGCATGCAATTTCTTCCTTTTCTCTATAATACCACATCACTATGGGTTGTTTCATACTGCCGCACTGACTGCAGCAGACCGCAGCAGACTGCAGCAGACTGCAGCTGACCGCATTGACCGCAACGGCCGCACGATCGCTGCATTTTTTCGTAAAAGAGAAAATAGTTGCGAATTACTCAAAACACCGTGATTTAAGCCTAGAAAGTTCATAGGTTTTAACTTACTCTTCTCAATCAAATTTTCATAACACGTTTCCTGCATAATCGCGCGCGGCGAAAAAGAGTGCAAAAGCCATTAGCCAAAAAAGGGACCTTATTTCTTAAACTGTGTGCTACATCTGCAATCAGCATGTCGAATAAGCTCCATACCCAAAGTTCTGAGCGGATTCGAAGTGTTTGAATTTTGTCGCTTGTGAAGGACTCCTATGCTTTCCTGAAAGATGGGAACAAGAATTCAGTTTCTATTAGTATCCAAAAGTATCTATGTTGTAGACGGTACACATCGGTATCGAAACCACAGTCTTTCTCTTTAATATCGAAGCAAAGGAAAGTTGCGACGTCGCACGCGTCGTTCGCATTGTCGCATTTCGTTGCAACTGTTGTTCGATTTGTGCTCAAATCTCCTCAACGAATATCGGCGGCACAACTCTACAGAGCCGTTTGAAAAGTAAAAGCTTAGACCTTTGACTTGATAACCTTGGACTTTAAGAAAACCTTTTGTAAA